GAGCAGGATGGAGAAGACTGGGAAAGTTCCAGGATTCTTTGTATGGGATATAGAATGAGGAAGGAAATGAATATTAAGAGGTACACAGTAGAGGACTGAACCATTTCTTAAGACAGTGGTAGGTGAAAGAGATTTTGCTGTGTTGTTAGTTATCTTTTCTGGCATGTCTAAAATAGTACACTGTGTCTTTAAAAGTTATTACAGGGGGGCCAGTAGGTGCCATGATGGTTAGGGCACTGGACTCCCACATGGCAAACCATGGTTTGAGTCCCAGACCCAGAAGCTTGCTTTCTTTCTCTCTCATGAGCACACATGCCCTGTATCAAAATTAAAAAGAAAGTAATTATAATAAATGAAATTAAATAAGTAATTCTTTTTTAAAAAAAAAATAGTTGGGAACACAGATGGCATAATGGTTACATCACTGGACTCCCACATAGACAACCACGGTTTGAGTCCCGGACCCGGTGGCTCAAAACTCACGCCAGGCACATGTGCGTGTGTGCCCAAGGTATCAAGAGGAGAATAGAGGAGAAGGGATTGTGGTGTGGTCATCCCCTTAGGGAGTGATTTCTTGCTTTCTGTCTCTCTGTCTCTCCAGAGAGTGCATGCACCCTATAGCAAAAATATCTCATACTCAAAAGAAAAGAAAGAAAGAAAGAAAGAAAGAAAGAAAGAAAGAAAGAAAGAAAGAAAGAAAGAAAGAAAGAAAGAAAGAAAGAAAAGAAAGTCCTTGCAGGGAATGGGAAAGGAAGTTATCCAGATGCCAACCTGACTTCTAAAGGCTCCACTTGATGTCGATGATCACAGCTTTCTAGCGGGCCCCATCTACCTTGCTCTGGATCTTTCTCCATCAGGGTAGACCTCAGACCCAGAAAATCAGTCATTTGAGTTCCTCCAGACAAGAGATGTTCAGACACTCCAGGCCTCTACTGAGGATGAGTCAAAGACGAATGAGAGATAGGCAATGAAAGACGGGTGAATATGAACAGGAAAAAGGGAGGAAAGGGTGTGAAGTAAATGGAGGGCTGCTGGAGGAAGGGTTGGGCGGCAAGCAATGAAAATTCTAACATTCCAGGGCTTTATAGAAACAAAAACAGGGACCACTCTCCAGCTATCAGGGAAGTTGGGAACCTATATGTTCATAGGCAATAGGAATGACAAAAAATTGGCACCTCATAACCACTATGAGGTCTTTGTTTTGTATCTTTTCCAGGTCTATAAAAGCATTCTTTCGCATGCATCTATGTGTGATCTCAAACGACATGCAACAATACATACATCTCAAACAATTGGGCCTTTCAGTTTCCAAACGTGTACCCATACCTACATGTTCTGCAACTTGCTGCATGCAGTCATGAGAATGCTTCTGAATTCTGTTCACACAGTCTCAGGAGTCTCTTCAGAGTGCCAAGGTTTTTTTTTTGTTTTTAAGAACTATTTATTTACATTTATTATATATATATGTATATATGTTTATTATATATGTGTGTGTATGTATGTGTATGTGGCCAGAGAGAGAGGGAAAGGGAGAGAGCAAGCCAGGTCCAGGACTCGAACTGCTGTTGGCCATGTGGGAATCCAGCGCCTTTAGCCACCACTCCACCTATCAGCCCAGAGTGCTGAGTTTTAATCTCCTGGCTGTATATGCCACCAGCATTCATCCATTGCCTTTCTGATGGGAATTTAGAGCAGTCTCAATTTTTCCCTATACTAGCATCCTTGTACACCACACAAACCAGTTTTTCTCCAGAATATGTACCAAACAGGTATATGGGGTTATCAAGGGACTAGGCATATTTCAGTTTGAAGAGTCAGCTCAGAGCACTGACTCTAGGGTCGGACTGCCTGATTTCCAGCCTGCTGCGGATACTGACAAACCTAATGATCTTGGAGCATTGCTGAACCTTTCTGTGCCTCTTTTCTTTCTTCTTTTAGTTTTGCTCCAGGGTACATATGCAGGCTGGAAAGAGAGAGAGAAAGAAGAAGAATCATTCTCGAGTGAAAAAAATCCCTTCTCCATTCTCCTCCCAGGATTTTGAGCACACGTGCATACATGCCAAGTGTGTTTTTAAGTCACTGGATCCAGACTCAAACTGCACATTCTGCCATGTAGAATCCAGTTGCCTTGACCACCATGGCACTGGCTGATCCTCTCTGTGCCTGTTTCTTCACCTGTAAGAAGCCACACATAGTAGGTACTTTAACTTAGGACTATCATAAGAATGAGTAAATGCACAATTTGCATTTCATGGATCCCACCAAATCACCCTTCCAAATGGCTGCACCTCTTTTCAGCAGGGGGCAAAAGCACTGGTTGGTGATAACTTCTCCTCTCCTTGGAATGGCTAAGCTCCTTAATTGTGGCAAACCTGGAATGTGAAAACGGATTTGTGATTTTAGTTTATATTGTCAGGATCAATAATAGTGAACATCTTTGGGGGTACTGTTTACTCTGGGATTCCCACTTCCTTGACTTAACTTGAAGGGGACTTGGGAGTATGGGATCTGGGAAAAGTGAGACAGGGCCTGCTAAAATGCCACAATGGCCTACTTACATAGTTGCATGAGCTCACAGCCACATAATTCCAATGATTAGGATACAGCAGTTGCTAAAGGGACTACACAGCTCCTAACCCCTAAAACACTTACCATCTGACTCTTCACAGAAAAAGTGCATCGACCTCTGATTATTAACTGTGGGCATCCTTACCCATTTTCCTACAGGGTAGGAAGTTGTCTTGGTGTGGAACAGAGGCTTACTGCAAAGCCTCTCTGTGCTGGCTTCCTATCTACCATTCAGTTTAATTCTCAAAGATCCCTGAGCTACAGACTGTTTCCCCCGTTCTATGGATGGAAAAAGATAAAAGATCAGAGATATGGCTCTCATTGAGAAGGAGATGCATGGCCAGAGGCGGCAGGGCACTAAGCAGAGGGACAAGACCCAGAATCCTGGAGTCCACAGCCAACTGGTTCCAGACCAGTCAAAAGACCTTGGGGCTTCTGGGTGAAGCAAGCACCCTCATTCTTATTGGTCAGAACTTTGTGGAGCCTCCCAAATAGGTTTACTCTGATTGGCAGGAGCTGGACCAATGAGAAGGTGGCGTCATAGGCACGGTGGAAACCTCGCGTTGTTTGTTGTGATCTCGTGAGCGAAGTGCCTGTGGCGACGACCGCCGTCCAGAAGCCTGGTTGTTCTTGGTGTGAGGCCCTGCTCTCTTGAATCCACGCTGCAAGAACTGAATTGGAGACATGAGTTCCCCAGATAAAGTGTTTGTTTGGGGAGCCAGTTTTGGCCAGGAGGGTGGGGAACAGGCCACCATCCCCTTGGCTGGCCCAGAAACACTGGAACCTGGACTAGGCCTTAATATGGCGGCACCTCGAAGCGGCGAGGGTGAGGGCGGGATTGGAGACTCCGAGGGAGGAGCCTCAGATGCCAAGGTTGACCTTGCAGGTGCTGAGAGAGGGCTTATAAGTGCTGAGGGAGGCCTAGCAGGTGCTGAAGGGGCCCTTGAAGGTACTGAGGCCTTTGATTCTAATTTTGAACGAGAAGTGATAAAGGTGGGAGGCAGGGTGATTTGGAGCAGCGATGGTCCATCTGGGTCTGCTACAGACCAGAAGGGGGACACGCTGGACAGCGTGTCCCACTTCACTGATGAATCTGTGGCCATCCTGCAGCATCTGACTGACCAGGATGCCCAGAGCGCTCAGAGATACCCAACAGAAGAAAGTTTTGCTGGTGACATCATCAGCATTTTGGGGGACGTAGAGGCAGGGTCCAGTGATAGAGGTGCATTTGCCCAGAGCTGTGCAGAATCTCAGCAGGCCTCTGTACCCTCACCACACATCAGTGGGCTCTTGGACACTCGGGCTTGGGTGAACTCAAAAACAGGCCGTAGAAGTAGGTTGAATGTCATTGTGAAGACTGAACAACCTTCTGCAGAATGCCAGGCCGGGCAGCTTTCTGACCTGGAATCATCTGATGACAGTGAGGTACATATGTTGAGGGTGAATCTTTACCCCTTAAAGAGAGGCCAACCTAAGCCCAGCAGCCCCAAGGAAACTGGAAACTTCCCACACCCAAAACATGCTAGGGACAATTTCCCTCACTCAGGCCCTGTCCCGGCCTCTACTTCCCGAGGGCTCACTTTGGGCAGGGATAGGAAGGCCACTGGAGAGTTAGATATACCCTCATCCAAGAAAATACCAAGTATGGTCTTGGAAAAGGGAGGGAGCAGGCCCAGCCACCTGGCAGCTCCTGCTGTTGGAGGCCTGCCCTGGGCCACTACAAAGAAGAAGGTGGCCCAAGAAAAGAAATCCCTGGGGGATGCCTCAAAAATTGGGTCAGGGAGAGCTTTTGCCTCATGGGGACAGAGATGCTCAGAGACTACCCAGGAAACAGCCAGCTTTCCACCAATTGCTGGTATTCCGCTGCATGGGAAGTCCAAGAAATACTCCTTCCTCCCTTCGGGACCCAGACACTCCAAGGTCGGAGGCACTGGAAAGAAATCTATGGTAAGGAGAAAGAGAGTGTCCCAGCCTGTGAAGGGAGAAGTTAATGAACCAAATAGAGATGCGGTCCCCGGGGTCCAGGTGAGTAGGCCACCCTTGCCCTCCTCCTCTCTCCCACCTT